TGCGGTCCAGGAATCCTTTGGGCTTGGCGGATGAAGAGGATGATGGTGGATGAGGTGTCGAGGTCGATGAGTACGCATTCTCTGTGGTACCAGCAGGTCTGCGGGGTGTATGGTCCACACCTAAAAAGATATCGAGGGCATGAATAAGAGAGCTCTGGCCCGCACTGGGACCTGACAACTCTCGGTGATCTCCGAAATCGACCTCGTCTCCGTCTTCGTTGAGGAAGATCCACCGTCGCTTGCCGCTGTCCTCTCCGCGGAACCAGGGTCGGACTTCGTGATAGAAGACCCTGGGATCACACTCGTCCCTGACGGCATCCAGGATGGCGGTAAGTCTGTTGATGACCCCTGCAAGTTTCTTGAGGTATGACGCGATACGACGAAGGGCGATGGAATCTGCTACGAACGCTTCGTCATAGCAGCGTTGCATGAGCGAGAGGGCCTCGACTCCGGCCAACTCAATGTAGGCTGACGTGAGGAAGAAGTGTTCCTCGTCTCTGGTTCCGGTAAATAAGGTAACGCTCTTGAGCTCGCGAGAATTCTCGTTGGCATATCGCCAGTTGTAGAGGACCGTGTCCGAGTATGTGAGGACAGGCGGTAGCACGAGTTCCTTGGATACCGCAAGAAGAGGAGTAGCGAGAACAGAGGGGATAATGATAGGATTGAGGCTGGGTGGCTGGGATTGGACATAAATATGCAGAATCCAAGCGAGGACGAGATGAGCTCTGCGTAAATGTCGCTCGGATTTTCGGAGCCTGTCTATCGATAGCAAGGGCATCTGATAAAGCATCAGTAAATGATTTCATGAAGAATGGTTCCATAGTAGTGGTGACTGCGAGGGGAGAGAGAGAATGGGAATTGAGTTTTTACTCACGTCTTGGACGGAATCTCGCCATCGTCCGCTTCGTTCCGTCTCCTCGGCTGATATGTCGGCGTAGTCGCCAACCTTTAGACGAGGACTAGATTGGACTGCATCGTCCAAAATTTCTTCCCAAACTGCCCATTCGGGCGGCAGGCGATCGATGGGGGGCTCGGGTGGCATAAAGCCGCTACGCACGTCAACGTCGAAATCATGCGCCGCAAGAGTACTCGTATCGAGTGGTGGTGTATATACAGTCGTAGAAACTGCCTTGGTTTTATTGGTGACGCTCTGCAACACGCTGGTGGAGTTCCGGGGACGGGCTAACGCATGCTGAGGCGCCAACTTGGAAAAGGCCTGGGGTGAAACCTCCATGATACCGTACAGTAGATGATCCGAAATAATATGGAATAGAAACCAATAATTGTAGAGGAGGAGAGAGAGGGGCAATTGGGGGGTTTGGCTGGCTGGGGCTTTGTCACAAGGGCAGCCTTTTATTTATCAGCAGCACTCGCCGGATCGGTCGGACATTTTTCCGTAGAGCTCACCAAGACGCGGAAAGTTCCGTCTCGAACGCTTAGCGAGTCGTTCTCGAGAATGATCCTCTATGGCGATGACATTGAGCGGTTGAAGAGATAAGCTAGTAGCACGGCCGCTATGGCGAGCATCAATCAGAATCACGTTCATTGCCGACCAAGTTCAATGATTACCTTATGCATCAGCGTTCATGACAAAACACAAATATATACCCAAACGTTTGGAAATACAGGATTGCAGGGGAGCAAGAATGCTAGGGTGCTGTTAGTATTAGGAGGGTCGAGACCAGGGCCAAGTCAGAAAGCGCGTCAGAATTCGTAACAGTGATATCAACCAACAAATCAACCAAGCGAGAAAATAAATTGGCATACAGAGACAAAAGTCGTCAGGAAAGGGAAGAAAAACCCACACAAGCAATTGTTGAGAGGACCCAAGGCAGGCCTCATACACAGGTCAAGATAGCACGTTGCCACACACAGTGTCCGTCCCAAATGGCATTCAAAAAAGAGCGGAAAGATCCGTGTTGGATCTAGGATTAAGAGCTTTGCTCCTCGTCTTCTTCCTCGAGCCCTTCGAGGAAGTGCATTTCACCAGGGCCACCGCCTGTGTCGTCTACCGTGTCCTCATCGTCATCGTCGTCACCCTCTGC